TTCCTCCCTGGAAGTTGTCCTTACGATTGCACTGTTTTTGTACCAGGGGCAGAGGAATTACCAACTATCTGTGTGTGATGCGGGTGACATACCTCAGATAGCACATAGACCTTGGGTGTAGCAGAGGATGTCTGAAAACATTCTTAGTGTGCTTCAGTTCTCTTGAATAGGACAAGTGAATCTGCAACTCATTCTGCCAGAATCTAAAAATATGACAGGAGAGGGAAATAAGTAAGGAGCATATTTGAGTGAAAGCAAAAGCTGGCATTCTCAGTGTGCCTCTTGAACACTGGAAGGGTAAGAGAAGTCTTCGTTACTATTCACCTTTCCCTGTTCTCAGCACCTGCAGGTTAAATGCTTCGTTCTTTCTCAAAGCTCCTCACTGCTGCTAGGGGAGAGATCACATTTCCATGTTTTTTAGACATGCCTTCTGGTTATACAAGGATGGGTTTATCCACTAGAGAATCAGCATTCCATTATGTAAGCCTGCTTTAAAACATCTCTTATTGTGCCTTCCTTTGCCTGAAGACATTGCTTCTTTGAAAAGGTACTTGCAAAGCAAAATTTCAGAGAAGAAGAGATTGGATTTATACCCCGCCCCTCACTACCCAAAGGTGTCTCAGAGTGGCTTACAAACTCCTTTCCCTCCCCCCCCCCACAACAGACACCCTGTTGAGACGGTGGCTGAGAGAGCTCTGACAGAAACTGCTGTTTTTCCAAGAACAGCTCTTACCAGAACTACAGCTTGCCCAAAGTCATCCAGCCAGGTGCAAGTGGAGGAGTAGGGAATCAAACCCGGTTCTCCCAGATTAGAGTCCGCGCACTCAACCATTACACCAACCTGGCTCTCAGAGGGAAGCTGTGTTGGTCTGCAGTAGAACCGCTGGAGTCCAGTAGAGCACCTGAGAGACCAACATGATTTTCAGGGTAGGACCTTTTAAGAGTCAAAGTTCTTTTTGCCAGATGAAAGAAACTTTGACTCCCAGAAGCTCATACCCTCCAAATCTTGCTGGTCTCTAAGGAGCAACTGGATTCAAAACTAGTTGCAAAGCTCAGTGTGCCATCTGTCAAAACTGGTTGGCCTCTGGGACAAATTCTCCTGGGCTTACAATGCTTAGAATTTTTTAAAAAGTAGCAGCAGTTTTGCTATCCAATATTGGTTTGTTTGTAACTTAATGCAAACTAGACTTGTAGCCTCAACTTAGCCTTGCCATGGAGAGACAGAAACAACCAAAAAAAGCCGATGCAATAATAAACACATACTCCTAATTTTTTTTTTAAATGTTTTTGCAGTGATGTTATATCGGTGCTGCAGGCAACCATATTTGTGCAAACGTTTAGGGTGATGACATTGGGGAAGGATAGGTTTCAGCCATTCATATGCATTGTGCTCCAAGTGGTCAGGTTTGACTGCAGCTTTGTGAGCTTTAGATGTTTGTCCAATCTTACAAGGTTGGATTTTTTTTAAGAATTCTGTAGCTGGTTAGCAAGACAAGAAAGTATTTAGGGTTTTTTTAATTAATTTTTGTTTAAGTTTGAATTCAAACAATTGACTTTCAACAACCAAACAACATACAATGCAATGTTGTATCAGAACAAAAAACAGCTGAGGTTACAATAAATTCGGAACAGGAGATGGATAACACATTTGTAAGGTTTCTGAATTGTGCTTCAGCTTAACCTACGAAAGGGGAGTTTTTTATAAAAGAGTATCGCTTAAAAAGTGCCTGATAGAACCATACACTGGTAAGCAGGGCTTTTTTTGTACAAAAAGCCCAGCAGGAACTCATTAGCATAATAGGTCACACCCAACAGCAGGTGAATTAGGCCACACCCCATGCCTTCCCTTGCCTTGCCTGGGTGCTCCGCGGCTGTGGGGAGCCCACGCAAGCAGCCCCTTGGACAGGCCGGGGAAGGCACGGGGAGGCATTTAAGTGCCTCACCGATCCTTCCAGGGGGGCCCCTTGCCCGCCTGCCTCAGAGTCGCTGGGGGGGGTTTGCTCTCCAGGCCTTCCCTTTGTAGCCACACATGCAGAGGTTTTCTCTGTAGTGGGCGTGGCCAACTCTGAAACCAGCTGGAACTCCGTTCCTGTACGTTCCTGCCCAAAAATAGCCCTGCTGGTAAGAACAACCTAAGACAACTATGGTATT